TTGACTGTATACTGTATAATCTATAACAGTCTATATGTGCATACATATGAACAGAGACCATTATGCTATTGAAATACAGTTTACAGAATCATAGAATCATAGAATGCTTAAGGTTGGAAGGGACCTCAGAGGTCATCTAGTCCAACCTCCCCTGCTCATGCAGGGTCAATTAGAGCACGTGGCACAGGGCTGCATCCAAGCGGGTTTTAAAGACTCCAGAGAAGGAGACTCCATAACCTTCCTGGGCAGCCTGTTCCAGGCTCTGTCACCCTCACTGTCAAAAAGTGTTTTCTCAAGTTCCTGTGGAACTTTTGGTGTCTCAAATTTATGAAGAAGATTCTAGATGGGAGTCAACTAAGAATCAGAGAAAAGTTGATGTAATATTGTAAGCCAAAGCTTACTAATACCGTCAATAAGCATATAAAATAACAGCACATGTGCATGTATATATACACATTTTAATGGATATAATATATATATAATATATACACATTATAATGGATATAATATATATATAATATATATAATATATGTACATTCATACTTTGAAACTATGAGAAATGAAGGTGTTATATCCTACAGCTATTTTAGTTGTTATTTAAAGGAATTCTAAGATATTTACCTGCTTTTCCTGCACCTTCTCGTTGTGGCAATTTCTCACTTAGAGAACCTGCAATTGAAAAAGGAATCAACCAAAAAAAATCTACTTTCATTATTAACGTTTTCTAACATAGTTCAGATTCCTCTATGCTAATTACAACCATAAATATCAGACAATTCTTCTTTTGCAGGCCAGATACTATAGCTTGGCAGATATCTGCACCATCATAGAAATTACTACTGATAGATAAATGACTACTGATAAATTTACTAAACAGAGAAAGAGATTATATTAAACAGTAAATAAATACAAGTGCAAAAACATGTTCATGTGTTGCACACTCATACTGTCCCTTCCAAATAGACAAAGAGTGAAAAAGTGAAACCTTCATTTAAATGGCATTTAAATCTAAATGTCTATTCTCTACATACACTCAGAACTAGCGTTATAAATGGAAAGAAAATTGAGTTCCTATCTAAGCAATTTAAAGCATCTGTGAAATGTATACAGTATTCCACATCCTAAACAAAAAGTGGAAAAGCCTTTCCCAATTTTATTTACATGAAGATGCCTTCAGATTACTCCATATGTATGTGAAATGGTAAGAAATGGCRACTATGCGAAACTAATCAGAATCAGAAAAATATCAAACTTTTTTTCTATGCTTTGTGTTCTTTTACCTACATTTTGAAGGAAAATTGATGSGTATTTGGATAGACTGGCATTCACAAAGGCTAACTACAGCATACTGAAACTAAAGAAAATATTCACAGAACTTCCCAAAATGTAAAATCAATGCTCTTAGCATACTTTCGCTTGGGATTTTAAATTTATGTGAATAAATATTAGCAGAAAAATTGTTTTGGTATTCAGTCTGAGTTGGTGGGAGTGTCAGTAAATTTATATTGTTTCTTCCTACCATTTTCTGAATATCCTTGAGTTAGGAGTACTTCTAGCTTAAATGGTGATATAAGGTAACAAATGAAAGCATTGCAAAAATTTTATTGTCAATACTCATGACAGATGTGTTCCAATGTTCAGTCAGGCATCAAGCAGAAATCACAGACTATAGCTTTTAGAAAAGTTAGGCAATACAGATCAACTTTCAAGTTTTTAATGCACTATAAGCAATTGGATCACACCACAGAAATATGTTAATGTTGGTGGAGAAGGTAAGAAGGGATACTAAATTCCTCAGTATTATTTAATTTTAGTCTTGTTTTAACAAGAATAATTTATTATCACTCTAACTCATATATACTTATCTCCTCCATTTGCTTAGCTTTCCATTCACAATTTCATGTTTTTTTTTTTAATGTTAGAAATATTCAAGCTTTGGTTTATTACAAAACTCACAGTTCAGACCAGTTTCAATCAAACAATATCAGATATATGGTAAATCTTTCAGGGAATGAGATACGATTTTTGTGGTTTATGATTTGAACATATGTATTTTCTACAGTTCTGATCATATATTATTGGAATTTAAAGGAGAAAGTGAATGCTTACCATTACCTGTTCTGGATAACAACTTTTGATCTCCTGCTAAGGAATACTTCATAAGTAATCACTGAATGCAGAGGAAAACAGGAACATAAACTGTGCATGCCCTATATTTGCACGTGTGTGTATGAGTGTACATGTACAGGGAACATACTATGTACAGAGACAGAAAAACTAGATAATTCATGGATGGAAATTTTTCTCTGTTAACGAAAGAAACTAAAAAAAAATACTTTACAAATAYAATAATTCTCATTACACAGAATCACAAAATCATAGAATATTTAAGGTTGGAAGGGACCTYTASAGATCATCTAGTCCAACCTTCCTGCTCAAGCAGGCACACCTACAGCATGCGGCACAGGGTGGCATCCAGGCAGGTTTTGAAGACCTCCAGAGAAGGAGACTCCACAACCTCCCTGGGCAGCCTGATCCACTGATCTGTCACCCTCACAGTAAAGAAGTTGCTCCTCACTTGGAGACGGAACTTCCAGTGCTCCAGCTTATGGCCATTACCCCTCGTCCTATCGCTGGCCACCAGTGAAAACAGCTTGTCCCCTTCCTCCCTGCATTTCTCCCTTCCTGAACTTATACATATCAATCATATCCCCTCTRAGCCTTCTCTTCTCCAGAGAAAACAGGCCCAGCTCACTCAGCCTCTCCTCGTACGAGAGATGTTCCAGTCCCTTAATCATCCTGGTTGCTCTTCTCTGGACCCTCTCCAGAAGCTCCACGTCCCTCTTATACTGGGGTGCCCAGAACTGAACACAGTACTCCAGGTGCGGCCTCACCAGAGCTGAGCAGAGGGGCAGAATCACCTCCCTTGACCTGCTGGCAACACTCCTCCTGATGCAGGCCAGGATCCCATTGGCCTTCTTGGCCACGAGGGCACACTGCTCACTCATGGTTAACTTGGTGTCAACCAGGACTCCCAGGTCCCTCTCCATGGAGCTGCTTTCTAGCAGGTCGACCTCTAATCTGTMCTGGTGCCTGGGGTTATTCCTCCCCAGCTGCAGGACCCTACACTTGTCCTTATTGAACCTCATGAGGTTCCTCTCTGCCCAACTCTCCAGCCTGTCCAGGTCCCTCTGGATGGCAGCACAGCCCTCCGGAGTGTCCGCCACTCCACCCAGCTTGGTGTCATCTGAAAACTTGCGCAGGGTGCACTCCATGCCCTCGTCCAGGTCATTGATGAACAAATTGAACAGCACCGGGGCCAGTACTGACCCCTGGGGGACACCACTGGCCACAGGCCTCCAACTGGACTCGGCCCCATTTATCACCACCCTCTGAGCTCTACCATCCAGCCAGCCCTCGATCCACCGCACCGTGCACTCATCTAGTCCACTCTCCCGGAGCTTCCGTATGAGGATATTATGGGAGACAGTGTCAAAAGCCTTGCTGAAGTCAAGGTAGACAACATCCACGGCTCTCCCCTCGTCCAGCCAGCCTGTCATCCCATCATAGAAGGCTATGAGGTTCGTCAGACATGACTTCCCCTTGGTGAATCCATGCTGACAGCTCCTCAGCAGCTTCTTCTCCTCCATATGCCTGGAAATTATATTATCTGATATATCATTATATTATCTGATGAAAGTATTATACAGATGGGAAGGGTTCTGAATTTTTTGAAGCTACTCATGTTTTTGCCTTAAAGATTAGATGGCATCTGAAATGCAGTGCAAACCAACTTCTAAGAATGATAGAACATGTCACTATCCCTCTGCAATTTCATTGTGATGCTRTGGCAGAAGCCTAGAAGAATTAAAGTGGCAGACAAATCATACAATAGGAGAACACTTTATATTCTTGTGACAATTTAACACCTGCATCTTGATTTCTGAGTTATTTCTCAGGACTCTGGTATTGGAATTTCTACAGTTCTTTGTTGTGCTGATAACAGAAATGGGAGTTGTAAAAATGTCTATTTTATGTATGGCATTTTTAGTGAAAGGATTGGAGGACATTTATCATTTTTAAGGAGCTTGTCAGGAGAATGTATTTGATTTACTCTCCTTCTCACCACTGCTCCTGAAATTGTGCAGATTATACCCATGGAGTGGAATGGCATTTTAAGATTTACCATGTGTGTTTTAGCAGCATCAAGTGTTGATGTGGGAAGGACTGGAAAGGATGGATGAGGTGCTTTTTCAGGTAAGAATGCAGTAATTAAATGGAAGGATTTACATGAGTCCATTGGAAGGAGTCTTTCATTTTTTTAAAATCTCCATCCTTTCATGTCTTTTGTYTCTAGCAAAAAAGGACAATTTTAATAAGAGTAACCACAACAGAAGAGTGAACAACTCAGCTCATACAGATACTGCAGATACATAAAAATACATTTTCTATCACAGGATCTGAGAGAGCTTTAGGAAGAATCATATTATGCAGATAAGGAATTAAGAAGTTAGATAAAGTTATTCAGTTTATCCATATTACAAAGTAAATATGCGGCAGGTCTAGGAAAAGAAAGAATAAGAAAAAAAAACAGGAAACTAAACTCCTAACTGTCCACATGCTCCCTATTTCCTTTATTAAAATCCAAGTCCTTTCAGACTGCCATGCTCTTCTGTTTCTGTATTTTCATCCAAGTTGCAGCAAGTTTCACTATGTGAAAATAAAAGGCAAGAAATCACCACATGAGTTAGGAAGGGCACTTTTGATTATATATGTATTCAAGCCTTTTGATTATATATGTATTCAAGCCTTATCTGTCCAGCTACTGCTGAAAGAGTATTAAAAACACTGAAAATTTTTATTTAGGATAGAATTTTTCACATATACTATGGTACTACATTTCCTATGAGAAAATCATTCCAAAAGAGTGTTCACAACTTACTCTACCAGTCATCTTGATAGTCTGAAGTGTTTCTACTCTGGAGGAAAAAGTGGCAAAAGCGATCCCAGTTAAAAATAAAAGCCTTTTACTAGTGCATAAACCTCTCTGAAATAACTACAATACCATTCCTGCAGAGTAAACAGAGGCAAGTGAAGTCTACATACAAATGCATCTGTCAGGATGCCATTACTACAAGAGATCCGTTCAAAATCAAAAAATAGACAGTGCCTGCAAATTAAATACATTATTTACACATAAATAACGTATTAGACTGATGAGGGACAATAATCTGAGGAATTRTATGATCCCACAATTGCTGGTCAAGACAGCAGCATGTCTATTCAACTTCAGTGTACATACTAATATTTTGTCTGAAATTCCTGTACATAGTAGCGCTAAAGAAAAAGTATAAAAGTGAATCAATGGTGTTCTGTCAAAGATCAATAGTTCTGCTGGAAAAAAAAAAAAGAAAGGAAAGAAGGAGAAGGGGAAGGAAGGGAAGGAAGCTAAGGAAGGGAAGAAAGGGAAAAAAGGAAAAGAAGGGAAAGAAAGGAAAGAAAGAAAGAAATMTAAACTTTGTTATACTAAACAGACTGTAATTCTGAGTATATAGTGAAAAATGGGGGAGAGGTGTAATTCTTCAGACAGTATAAGCACAAAGTTTTGCCTTACTACGTTATGTAACTCTCTGAGAAAATCTGCATCTGTCCTCTCAACTTAATGAGAAGTTTTCTCCAGATCTACTCAAGACCAAGCCCTTACCCACTATAACTGCACAATATGCCAGTGCTTCTAGTTAATTTCTGAATTCTGCTGTAGCTGGAATATACCTTTGAGGGGAATTAGGGCTTGTTATCTGTAGAGGCAGAATATTTTTTTCTGTGAAACTACTAATTATCCTGAAACTACACTGTAGCTTCTCACAGAAGTGATTCAAGTGAATTTACCTTAAGCAATTTAGCAGAATTTTGACTCAAATAGTCACATATTGAAATTTAAGCCTATACATAATTCTTTCTTTACTGATGTAGGTGAAATTGAGGAAACTACAAAGATTTATGATACAAATAGATATTGCAAAGAAAGCAATGAAGGTACATTTCCAAAGAGGCCACAGTTGTGAATGTGCAGTAACATCTCTGTTTAAGAGTATGTTGAAGCACATAAATGCTGTCCTAACTATCTATGTCTTCTGAAGGCATGACCCAGTTATAAACAGTAATTACATTAGAATTAATACATGGGTTTCTGAATTTTAAGCCTTGTGAACATTTTATTTATCTTTTCACAACTCACTGTAATGCCACATTGACTCTTCAACATATATCCCRTTGTAGATTACACCAAGGAGATTAGACTGAAGATTATTCTTTTTAACTAAAGTTTATCCACACACAATACACATGGAAGGCTCTGCAAATCATTTAAACTAGACAGGKTTTAAAGGTGGAAATAATTTTTGATAGTCTTTGTAGTAGTAATAGTTTTTAATGATCTTTTTAGTGATTTTTAATAAATAAATGAAGAAAGAAAGAGACTAGAAAAAAAATCTCAACAAAGACTTTCTTTCTTCATCTATTTATTAAAATTATCGATATGGTACTTGATCAATTGAAATAAGTCATACCAGGCAAACTTTCAACAACAATCCACCTTTGCTTTTGCAAAGACACCTTTTGAGCTTAATTTATATTACAACGTTAAGTTATTTAAGTTTATTAAGTTAAGTTTATCCAGTCTCTGAAAGAGAATGGTCTTGCCACAAGATCAAAAACATAATACAAAGGACACAAATACATTCAGAGCAGTTTCTGGTGAAGGGCTGCAATTCTGTCAGCCTCAAGCAAGGTGACCAGTAATTCTGGCATTTGCTCTTGCACTGAGGATTTACTACATATATTCTCAGTGTCAATGGAATAGGGTGAGAAGCGAATTCCTTACAAAGAGTGAAGCTGTTAGTTGTCCTGATGAAAGATAAAGGACAGTGCATGGAGCAATAAGTTCAAGCTGCCAATTAATTTCTACAGACAACTATTCCATTATGTTTTTTGTACTTCATTTCATTTTTATTTTTGCGCTATATTTGGCCATTTATCAGATTTTCTGTATAAGCTGTTTTAGTGCACTACAGTCAAACCCAATATTTTTGTTGGGGTTGGGATGTTATTCTATAATCAAAATGCTTAAAATATCTAAAAGACAAAATCCTCTGGAACTTTTGCAGTGAGTTTACTACCATGAGAGAACTACCTCAGCAAAGCAGTTATCTGGTTTCATATATCAATAGATATATATCATACAAATATCCACAAGACAAAGTTCCTTGATTGCCAGATTACCGCACAAATAAAGGAAATGGAATCACAGACAGGTTTATGTTGGAAGTGACCTCTGAAGAATTCAAGCAGGGCTAACTTCAAAAAATATCAACTTGCTTGAGACTTCATTCAGTCAAGTTTTGGAAATTCCCAAGGTAGGAGAGTCCATAGTAGGCACCTGTTCCTACGATGAACCATGTTCCTGATGAAGAAGTTTTTCCTTAARTCTAATCAGATTATAGAATCAGAGAATAGGAAAATCAGAGAATCAGAGAATCATTATGGCCTACAAGATCATCAAGTCCCACCATAGATGCCACAAGTGAACCTGACTGTTATTCTTGATACAATATTATAACCTCATCGGCCAAGCAAATCTTACCTGGGCACCGAGGAGTTTTGTGGGCCACGGCAGTACCACTGATAGGACGGCCATTAGGAGTGACACACCAGCAGTATCCAGTGTAACTATGGCACTGAACCTGTCAAAAATGATACAAACCATGTGCAGTCKTTGAGACATGTCCATTATCTCAAAGCATTCATGATGTGAACAAACAGCTAGTTCAACGAATTGTATTGGTGAAGTCTAGAATAATACTGCATAAAGGACCTTAATTTCAGTCCCGTATATAATTTCTTAGCATAAAGAAAAGCTTCTTTSAAGCACAGTGTGGTAGGTCCTTCAACTACAGAAGTAGATAGAACTACTGAAATATGTTGTTGCTTATGCACTATTTCAGAAGAGGAAGGTGCAGGTGTTACAAAAACTTCACAGTGAAGGTCCTCAGGGGAAACATAAACTGTTCCTGAAGTAAGCAATCTTGAGTTCTTTTTCACACAGAGAACATGTTGTTCCACTCACTGAAAGAGTAGGACACAGTGCTTCTGCCAGCATTATTCATCTCCCAAGCTGACAGAAAGGAAACTCTTGGAATTCCTCTAAGAAATCAATTGCGTTTTATTTCCTGAAGGCCRGTATCACTTACTTCACTACGCTTAAGCTGATTGTCTTCGGCACAACTTTGCAAATTAAATGCAGTACAAAGGTAGCAGAAAGCAATCATGATTAAGATATACATCAAAGAATAAGCTTTTAACTGCATCCCTTCTAAATGCTATGATATAAGCCACATAAAATAGTATCAAGCTGTATGCTTGTGCATAAATTCAGCTGAGAATAGGGAAGATTCCTCCACGACTCATGCTTTAGCACCAAGATATGGATTGTTATCACAAGATTTCTGGCTCAGATCATGAGCAGATCAGAAATTCCAAACATTTTACCATCTCATGAGTATACAAGAATGACTCAGCTGCCTTCATCTAGAAGAATAGGGGGTGTATTGCATTAACAACAGTAATGTTTGGCTCTTTTGCCGGTCAACTCTGAAGAAAAAACACAAGGACTCAGCTGGCACAAAGCAAAAATTTTCTTTCCATTTTTTTTTAACTTCAGTATTAGCACAAAGTACATTTCATTTTGAAATAACATTTCCTTACATTACTTATTTTTCTTTATTTTCCACAAACACACATAAAAATCTAATCTTTCAGACATGCAAAATACCAAGTCAAAAATTTCAACCTGACTATATGTGCCATCTTCATTGCATTCTGGGATAAACACTTGTTGAAATTCCTTGCGAGCTTGTTCCTGGGTGTACTTCCTCTCAGCCACACATCTGGAAACATCTAGAAAAAGAGAGAACACAAGTCAGTTTGGTGATGCAGTGCTAAGGTCAGAGATCACCTACACGGTAATCTAAAGAGCATTTGGAGTAATCTAAAGAGCACAAACTGTCAATTTGGAATTGACAATTAGTGACAATGTCTCTATCCAAGAGAAGGTAGCAAACAGAATAATTTTAATTCAGTAGCATTAGCATTTCCATTGTCTAATATATTACACTTTGACTAGGCAGACAAAGACCAAGAGAGGACAAATAACAATCTGCTGTATCTTTTTATGTTTAAGGTAATTACAAAATTGCTTGTGCAGAATCAGTATTTCAGATTCTGCTTGAGCTATACCATTTTTAGACAAATGAGAATATCAGACAAGCTTAAAGTAGCATTAATGATTTCAACATGTGATTGTAACAGCTGAATTAAAATGATCTGAAGCATATAAGTAGAAAAAAATACTGCTTCTGTTCTGTGTTTTGTGTAAAGATTGTTCGACAGTAAATAGCAGGTAGCATTCTAAAACTACAGTTGCCCACTGTTTACCTTTGACAGGGACAGAGACATTGTTGTGATTAGTGACAATAAATTTTTAGTACAGGGACAGATCTTCTAGCCTACGCAAATTGCACATAAATAGAATCAGAAAAGCAAGGCCACAACACTTTCCTCATCTGATACCAGTGAATCTTGATATTTCTTTATCATCTAACAGTCCCCAGAAATTGCTCTGTCGTGTAAGCATGAGCCAGATAAGTTCCTGGTTTCCCAAGTAACCTCTCTGTTCCAATCCCATTTGGCCATTTATGCACAGAGACAACAAGTTATTTGTAACCCCAAAAACTTGTCTGTAGTACAGGATTAAGCTTTGTAGTACAGGATCAGGGTTTGGACAAATTACCTAACAAAATCAGCAYAAAGAAAAAAGAAAAARAAAAAACTCCTAAACAATCTGGTGTGGGAAGTGAAACAGGTCATTATAGAAACAGTTCTGTCTGAACTGAACAGAACTGTCTAAACATAAAATTATGCCTTCTTAATTCTGATTTTTACAGTGATTTTCCTTCTAGTCTTGGACCTGTATGCATGGCTTCTGTGTGTTGCTCTTCTGTAAAGTAGACATATCATAGGAATGTTATGAGTGTTATTGCAAAGCTCATGCTAGTAAAATATCTGAAGTATAACATGTTTTACATAGTAAATCTAAGTTTCAGTCTTTAATAAATTCAATCATATTATGCTGTTTCAGAAATTATATTCACAGAGAGGCAGTGCCATCTAAATTGAACAGAAAAGTTCAACCATCCAAAAAATATGAGAAAGATAATAAGGCACTGGAATAATTTGTACGCTGGTACTTTAATATCTTATTAGATTTTTATCAAGGAGAAAGTATAATTAATGTACAATGTGGATCAGGTAGAATATGTTAGTATATGCACTACCAAAGTTTGGGGGAAAAAAAAACACAAGAAATACTTTGACCAATATTTGGTGTCATTTGCCTTATTCTGAGCATGGCTTGGATATGCAGTACTTAATAACATGTGGTTTTAATGTAGCCAGTATTTTAACTGAAAATAAATCACTTCTTTGTTGGACCTCTACTCTCATTTTTCTAGAATGACATGTGGTTTAAAAGTCTAAAAGGAAAAGTGATATAAATTCCATCACATATGGCCTCAGCTATAGTACTAGCAAGTTTACAAATTATCTCCAATATTTGAATTATCATAAAAGTATGTGATAGAGAAAAAGAAGCCCTCCAAGCTGTCCATCATTTTGTTTCTAAGCAGCTAGGTGTTCTAAAGGCATCCTATTTGTAGATAATCTACTATTCTTTACAAACAACAATGACCAAATGTGAAACTGAGATTTAAAGCCTTGTTTTGCATCAAAACCATGGAAACATTTTAATGCTGTTGGACATTAATGTCTTTGATTATACATAAAAAAAAAAAAAAAAAACTAACGAGCAAGTTCTCTTTTCAATTTAAACATCTGAAACAGAATAGTCAAAATGTTATTCCTATTCTGATTTTTTTATTTCACCAAGGTATTACTACTAGGAGAGAAGTATGATACAGAGACACAGTTCCGCTCTGATAGAAGAAATGTAACAGGGTTGTATAAACAAAAAAGAAAAAAAAAGAAAAAAAATGCATTTTCAAATATCTTTACTTGGTATAGTGATAAGCATTAGATTACTAGTACAGAAGAGCTAACGCCATTACAAAGACATCACTAAAATCGAAGGAATTCTCATATTTTTGGTAAATTACTGTGTTCCAGACAGTATATTTTGAGTCCGCTGCCTGATTTCAATTAAATTTTCATTGAAATATTCTAGAAGAAAGAGTTCAAGAGAATTATGTTCTATGCCTTATTGTAAATAAGTTGAAAAAGAAGTTGAAAATTGATTTTGCAAGAAAGTCTGAAATATGAGCTTACATAGAAATATTCAAACAAATACAGATAAYAATTTTGTCACAGGTGTAGGAAGACTTCACAGCTCCTAACAAATAAGAATCAGTCAAGCATAAGCCCAAACTTGTAGAGAACAACCTTTCACATGTCCATTGCTTACAATCATTCATTGAAGGCCAGTGCTATGGCAACTGTACTAAGCATACTCAGCAGTGGAGAATTGTTGTCTTCAGGTCCCTCTTTGCACCTCATGCAAGTGAAGATGACTCTCACTCCTGATTAGTGTGAAGTGTCTAGGCCTAAATGGTTTGCCAACAGGAAGCTTATAGGAGTACCGACATCTATGAGGATTGTTGTGCAGTCTCTCACACACAGATTCATCTTCCCTTGATAGCTACAACATGACTGATTCATGTCAGGATGGTCCCTAATCTATCTTGAAATGAAGACTTAGAGTAAAATATGGTGGACCTTACCTGACAATTCTGTGCTTACTGAATCAATTCATAGCTTTGATTTCCATCATCATAGCACCTGGCCAAAGGAGCTCTTTTGAAGTGAACGGCGTCACATGGGGCTCTATAAGAAAAGCCTTACCTTTTTTATTTATGTTTTCTTTTTAAWTTTTTTTGCTGTTGTTGWTTTTCATTTGCAACAATCTAAGTAAAAAATCAAGGTTTTGATTTTTTTACTGTTTTTTGACTGAGTTCCCACTAGATTTTATTCCTCTCCTAATTTAAGTATTAATCCAACAGCAATATGGCACATGACATGGTGAAGACTGTTTGGTTCTAGGACCTATAGAAAGCTGGGATGAGGCYTTACTTGTCTATATTTAAACAACAGAGAGAAAAAAGTTTGCAGATATGCATGCCTAGCTGTAATGTTGAAATACTTCATTAGCTGAGTGAAATTCTAATCTCACTACTCCAGGTAAATGGAGTAAATGGATTTTAGTGCACTTGCACAGTATTAGCTGTCAGACTGGGGCAGTATTGGTCTCTGTGCTTTTTAGCACATTGACCTGTATGTTGCGTGCTAGAAGCTGCACTCGAGTCCTGTATCTGGCACAAATAAAATGTACTGTCACTTATGACTGTCATTTATAGCTAAATGGAACAGCAAAGACTTTTACTTTTTAAGTGGTGTGATGCAGGTACCAATCTTTAGAATCTAGAGCCAGATTCAGAGACACAGGACTTCCTAGAAGGAAACTAAAGCTAATAGGAAACTGTGGTATGAAAYGAACTTCTTAAAACAGAATTAGCCTCATAAGCAGTGGAGGAATGACTCAAAACTCATCAGTTTTATTTCCTGTTTTCAACAGTGCAGCACATTATATCATACTGAGGTTTGGAAGGAAAAATAATCAAGTTTAATTCTATCAGCTCATCCTTGAATAATACACAGTAAGAAGATTATTACTATGAAGTATAATTTTATCTTTAAAACAATGACACAAACTCATCAAGTGTGTAAACACCAACTCTAAAGTGACATTTAATACAAGTAAGTTTATAGCAACTTTTTGCCTCCACAGTGAACTCTACCCTAGATTCTCTAATAGAAAATGAAACAGTTTGCCAAAAAAAAAGAAAAGAGGTAAATCTACTGATTTAGTCCATTCATTTTTGGGGTTCTTTTTTGTTTGTTTTGTTTGCTATATAATTTCAGTAAGAATAAAAATAACTTTTCCAATCGCAATACAATGAGCAGTCAACACTTGTTTTCAAATAGATTATTGTGTATCATAGGAGGTTGTGATACTTCTATGCATAAAATTATCTTAATAGTTTAATTTAGTTGTTTTATTTTAGATGGAATATTCCACTTAGCATCAGAAACATGTATCACTTTTTTAAAACCACTTATAAAGTGGTTAAACGTAAATGCTTGAAGAAAATATTCCCTTGAGGGCTTTTCACAGATGCTTAGCTCTTCATATGCTAAACAGAAAGCTTGTCTAAAGTCCACGGATTTGAACAAGACCTAGTATGGACCTAGTATCTAAATACCTCTCATTGTTTTGCTGTAGGTTTCTCTTACTGACCCTCCATTAAGCCTCAAAATACCTGTATAAACTTTCCTTTAAATTTATGCATCATTAAGCTGTTTAAAAATAGGTATCTATTTGAGCACTTTGCTTTATTGGACTAACAATGAATCAGATTTGTTTTCCACTTTTGTGGTTCTTTTTCACTTTTCTATCCTTCTGCAACTGGTAATGATATGATAAAAGTCAAATAGCCTTAATTTTGCAGTTCATTTAGCACAGAAATGCTTTATTTGGGGAACAAGACTCAGTTTTTTTTGTTGTTGTTGGGCTTTTGTTGTTGTTGTTGTTGTTGTTGTTGTTGTTGTTGTTGTTACAAAATGATTTTTTTTCTATATTTGACCAAGGTCAGTGAATATTACAGACCTGATTGCTTCTGGACCAGTGAAGCACATGTAGCTGTAGTCTGTAGTGACAGGAAATGCAAAACAAGTTATATGTGCCCCAAGTTTTGGGTTCAAAGAGCATATGATTAGYCTCCTGGTTTGGAAAAGATGTCAGCACAGACATTAAGCCTCACACTGGCATA